AGATGCCCTCTCGAGAAACGTTATAGGGCCGTCCTTGAATGCCCTATTCATCCATCAGAATCAGATTTGGGATGACATAAGGAAAGAAACAAAAACACACCCCTATTATGCAGAAGCTTAGTAAAATAATAAAAGAGCAAAAGGGTGGGTCATATACCACAAGAAATGAACTGATTTATTATAAGCATCGGGCAATCCTACCCCCTCAGTCTCATTTGATATCACAACTTTTACAAGCTTACCATGATTCACCCTTAAGGGGGCATTCCGAAGTCCTTCGCACCTACAAAAGATTGACCCAGCAATTTTATTAGCCATCTATGAAAAAGGTAGTCTAAGAATATGTGTCCGCTTGTGAAACCTGTCAGAGAGTAAAAAAAAAAACACTAGTACTTGAAGGTCTCCTCCAACCCTTACCCATTCCATGACAAGTGTGGAAAAATATCACGATGGATTTTATAGAACGCTTACCTCCTTCCAGTGGCAAAAGCACCATTCTGGTAATAGTCGACCGCCTCAGTAGGTTTGCACACTTCCTGACACTAGCTCACCCCTACATAGCTAGGACAGTGGCTGAGAAATTTGTAGAGAGAATAGTTAAGCTACATGGGATGCCCCGCACCATAGTTAGTGACCGAGACCTGATATTGGTTAGTCACTTCTAGAAGGAATTCTTCAAAATATCAGCCACTTAACTAAAAATGACCTCAACTTATCACCCCCAAACGGATGGCCAATCCGAGGTAGTCAACCGATGTCTCGAGTAGTACCTAAGATGTTTAGGTCACCAAAGACCTAATAAATGGAGCTTCCTGCTTTCATGGACAGAATTCTGGTACAATACTACTTATCATGCCGCCATCAAAATGAGTTCCTTTCAAGCTCTTTACTGGCGGCCTCCCCCCGCCATACCGTATTATCATTCAAGGATGACTTCGGTCAACGAAGTAGATCAACAATTAATGGGGCGAAGTGAATTATTGCAACAACTGAAAACCAATCTCCATGCTAGCCAGAATAGCATGCAACATTACACTAACACCAAGAAAGGCCATTTGGAATTCCAGGAAGGAGACTGGGTTTTTTTCAAGTTACAATCTTATCGCCAACAGACTATCTTCCGCAGGGCCCTTCAGAAATTGGCTTGTCGGTACTATGGATCTTACCAAGTTGAGCGGCGCATTGGTCCAGTCGCCGATAAACTCAAACTACTAATCGAGGCTCGAATCCACCCCGTTTTTCATATGTCCTTACTCAAAAAGCAAGTAGGCAAATCAGTTTTCACCCCCAAGGATCTCCCCACTACTACCGAGGAAGGTACTATCTTAGTCCACCCACATTAAATCCTGGACACACGTTGGCTGAAGAAATGCGGTAAATTTGTAGAATAAAACTTGGTTCACTGAAAAAATTTGCCCACCGAAGATGCCACATGGGAAAACACGACCGACACCATCACCCAATGTCCGAACCTTGAAGATAAGGTCACTCAAAGAGCAGGGAATGATGTTAGGATTTGTAGATCTCAACGGGTCCCCACAAAGAACCCAAAGTATTGTGATGGAGCATGACCGGGTCAACAACACGTGCACCACAGAACCGGCCTCACTTATCCACCTATAATGGAAGAGCCACTCCAACTCTACAGCAACAGCTCCCCACAACGGAAGTGACCACGATCCTTATCCTTTTATTTTTCATGCAGTAAATGTAGAACTTTATCATTATCATGTAATCGTTTATTGACTATTT